TGAAGAGAGAACTGGGAAGTGAGGGAATGGAAACAGCACATCTACACAACTCTCAAAAGAAGAGTGGCTATGAAATGCAGTAGAGAGAAAGAGTGGCGATTGCAGGGAATGTAGAGCAGGAAGAGGAGGGTCTTTTAAGACAGTTGATAGTAGAATCTGTTTATAGGCTTACAAGGATGACCCAGAAAGCAGGGAGATAGATTATGTAGAAAAGAGAAGATAACCCAAGGAATGGAGTCCCTGAAAGTTTGGAAGGAGCCCACCAAAGGAATTGGCTTTTGATAGATAAAGGGACACTTCTTTTACTGTACCAAGAGGGTAGGAAGAACACAGATGATGATGTAGGTGGGTTTAGAGGGCCAGTGTTGGAAAGAGTAGGGAGGGAGTAGCTAGAACCCTTTCGTTGCAAGCAACAGAAGGTAACTATAGTTAATTTAAGCAAAAATAAATGTCTTAGATTAATTCTGGGTAGATTAAAAACAAATTGAAGGCTAATATCCAGTGATGATAATCCAGAGATGAAGTTGGCTTGTTTTTAGATCTCTGGACAGAAAAGCAGGTAGGCACAGTTCTTTACTCAAAGATCTAATATCCCCCACAGAGCAGGAATTTCCTAATTTCCTACACAGGGGTAAGAAGCCTTCAAAAAGTGGGTGTCGGCCGGGCGCTGTGGCTCACGCCTGTAATCCTAGCTCTTGGGAGGCCGAGGCGGGCGGATTGCTCAAGGTCAGGAGTTCAAAACCAGCCTGAGCAAGAGCGAGACCCCGTCTCTACTATAAATAGAAAGAAATTAATTGGCCAACTGATATATATACATAAAATTAGCCGGGCATGGTGGCGCATGCCTGTAGTCCCAGCTACTCGGGAGGCTGAGGCAGAAGGATCACTCAAGCCCAGGAGTTTGAGGTTGCTGTGAGCTAGGCTGACGCCACGGCACTCACTCTAGCCTGGACAACAAAGCGAGACTCTGTCTCAAAAAAAAAAAAAGTGGGTGTCAAATATCTCCTCCTCTCTTCCACTCCCTCTCCTCAGTCCTCTTTCTCCACCCACTGTTTCCCTTCTCAAGCCTCCCAGGTCTAGATTCTAGCCTCCCTCTCCTCATGAAGTAGAGCATCTATCTCCAGGTACCTTGTCACTCCATTGCCTTCAGCATGTGCCAGATTCTAACAGACCCTTTCCATGTAGGTTTCACAGCCTAGAAGGGTCAGAGTGGACTTTGAGTAAACAAATGGAGTAGGTGATATGCTCCAATTCCTGTTTGGTGTTTTGAACAGTAAACAGAACAGTGTGGCTAAGTTTTCTCTACACAAAGAAAGCATTAGTTGTCGTCTGCAGAAGCAGCACAACTTAGTCTCATATGGGGGAAACACATTTTTACCTACTTTGCACAACAGTTCTCCTGATATTTCTCTGTCAAGGAGCACTATGGTCCAGAGCCTCTTTTACTGCCAGACTTTCTGCTATTGTCTGTGAGTGGTGCTTTCTCAGCCACCCAGAATGGCCAATGCCAACTCTCACTGAATTTTTCCTGATCCTCCAGAAGAAATGCTTCCCAATGTGAAGTTTCAAAGATAAATAGAGGTCAAAAAGAGAGAAGACCATTTTATGTAAAATTTCACAGATTATCATAATGGTCCAAGGTCTGCTTTTTAGTTTTGTTGGTTAAAAACACTTAACGTTGATCAGTTCTCTGAAAGTTTTCAGGTTCTTGAGGACTCATGCATAGTTACCAGATTCTAAGGGACTTTTTTGAGGTGCTGTTAAAAATAAAATACTCTTCCAACTTACTAATTTAGAAGATAATTCTTAGGGGTCAGAACACTTGTGTCAGCAGGGCAGCACACTTTCTCTACTGTAGAAAGTGTGCATGGAAAACCATATGTTTACTTTCTGCTTCTTGGCCTGAGAGTAATTGGGATGAGATATAAAGAAAGATAGCACCTCCCAAACATAATGACAAAGTTCATTCTTGATCTTTTAGTTTCCATCCTCCACACAATACTTTCTCTTTCCCTTTCCCCCATTTCATTAACTTCTTGAATTAGTTGTTCACACAACCAGTGACTTTTCTTCCTTTCACTAAACTCCTTTGAGTAGGAATGATATTGCATTCATCTTTGTATTGCTTTGTCTTCTTCCCAGAGGCCAGGGTTGGTTTCTCATATGGTGGATGCTCAAGACTGGTTTGTTGTTGTGTTACCACTGCAAAGTTTCTTGGAAAAATACTTCCCATGTTGACCCTCAAGAAGCTGGATGATATATGGAGAAATCATCATATTTATAATCTAAAGTTTTAAGTCTGATTCCTGATTCTATCACTTACTTGCTCCATGACTTGGGGTTAAATCACTCAGCACCTCTAAGCCTCAGTTTCTTCATCTACAAAATGAACAATCCTTATTCAACAAGATTGTGGTAAAGATCAAATGAGATCAGGATGTCAAAGTGTTCATGCCCATATAAAACTAAGTTTAATAATGATCATGGAGTTAGAACAAAGGAACGAGGATGACCTTAATGACTATTGTTAACACCCACCACCACTTTGTTCTACTTGCCTTTTCATCTCTATATTCTGAGCAACTAGCACAGTGTTTTGTAGAGTAGAATCTCAATAGTTTTTTATTTTTTATTTTTTGGTGAATGCTAATGTTGTTAAAATCAGTTTTCTTCCTGCCTGGGCGCTTACCAAAGGAGTAGAAGTTAAATGGTTCCAGAACATTTTGTGTGGATGTGAATGAGGGTGCTGGGTACAAAGAGGGATGCTGTCCCCCTCCTGGAGAGGCCACCAGAGGGTGGAGTGATTCTTGAAGCCCCTGAGGTTCTGGGCCTCTACAGGATTTATATGCCAAGGTCAACCTGTGTTATCCCTTGGAGCAGATAGATCTGATGAGATCTCTTGGTTGTGGCTCTGTTATTGGGGCATTGATGCCCAGCTTAGGATCATGAATGATACTTGAAATGATGCTCTGGGCAAACTCTTTCACTTGTATCAACCAAGTAACCAAACATCAACCTTATTATGTGTTCATAAAGAAATCTTTTCGCTGAAAACATCCTTTTGAAAATTAGAATAGTAATTTAACCAAATCTTTTTTGTTTGGGCCACCTCATTAAGGAATTAACTAATGTAAAATAGATTTTTAACATTTTACAGAATAAATAAGGTTTTAACTTTATTACAATACTGTTTCCTTTCCCTTCCACATATCCTTTTCCTTTGTTCTACCGCAACTTATGGAAAGACTCATAAATTGGTTTTCCGAGAAGACGGTTTTTTTCTTTAATCAACCTACTGCAGAAGTCACTACAGAGGAGCTGGAGGCCTGCAACTTTCTTTGCATCTCAGTCTCTGGGAAGACTTAGGGAAAGCTGCCAGGCCTAGATGGGGAAATCCTTCTCAATCCTGGTTCTTAGGACTATTGGGAGTGCAGAGAGACTGCTAGTGTCTGCTGTGCTTTGGGGTGATTGTCCTCTATCAGTCAGCCTCATCTTCAGCTGTCAGTTCTACTCTCACCCATCATGTGGCCTTAGTCTTCCTGGGGCAGTGTTTCAGTTGCATTGTGCATGTGTTGGACTTCCTCCTCCCGATGAGCCTTTCTCAACAGCAAAACAAGACCTCTGTGGGAGGATGTGGGACAGATTGAGGCTGGTTGACAGAGTAACGTGGAACACTGGGAGTGAACACAAACAAGGACATCGCAGCATGAAGGAAAAACTTGGCAGAAGCTATGTGGATCCAATGCCTTGGCTTGGAACAGGAACAAGGAATCCAATTATAGTACACTCTGTATAGAGAGTAAAAAGAGTGCTCTTGTTTTGCTTTAATCCCATAGAAATAAGTGAGAGAATAAAAACCAGATTGAGAGTGAGTCTTTTGTTCAGGATTTTCCTTTAGACAGTGTCAAGATGGAAAACATCTTTTGGAGCTTGAAGAATGCTCTAATTTGTAGAACAGCTAATTAAAGCTTCTTACAACCTGAATGACATGTTGTGGTACTCTAAGAGCTAAGCAAAGAATTCACTCCCTATAGGACCGAAGCACCCTTCTCCCATATATATGATGTGTTCTGTGTGCTATCCACCTTGATATGGGGGAATGATGTTCTTATGACCTTGAGGTTATAGTTACTCTTCTATAAGGTATGGAAGTATTTGCACAAAGCTACGCAACAGTATAACAGAGCAAAAGCCTGTCATCCACAGCTTGAGGCTTATATTTTGTCACTTTAGACTTATATAATCTATTTGTAAGCAGATATAAAAATATCACATGTAAATATATATTTATATGTAAATATATAAACATCATATATAACATTCAAGTATTCATTTTACATGAGACCAGTTATCAAAGGAGCACTATTATTTCAAATCTAAGGGGCTTAAATCAGAACATTAAAATGTCTTTTGCTATTACATATAGATTTTATATCCTTTGTGAAGAATCTGCATTTTTTTTTGTTCTTTTTTTTATTGTTGTAACTGTCTAGTATAGCCCCTACCCTGTGATCTTACCTTGGGGCTTGCAATTAAGTGAGTAATGATCTTGGAAGGTTAAGTAGATAATATGATTGTGAAAACCTATTAAATCCAATTATTTTTTTTTCTGTGACCATGAAACACAATCTCTAAAAGCTGAGGTTGTGCAACTCCCTGGAAGGCTCATGGCTCAGCTCAGTGTTGCTTCTAATGAAAACAAAACCAAAAATAAAACACAAGTGATCCATGAGGCTGGCTCTTTGAGCCTCATTGCCTGTAATTGTAAACATCTGAACTGCAGGATTTTCAGGAAAAGTTCTGCCCTTTAAGACATGTGGAAAGTCAAGAGTAACCCAGCCCAACTGTTGTTTTTGACTGGTGACTCTTCATCTGACTTGTTATGAGTATTCCAACCCAGGTAAGAGAAATATTCCTTTCTGGGTGGAAAAATTCCTATCTGGCCTGGAAGCGCACACAGCTGTTCAAGTTCAGCTCTCATGTAGCTCTCCTCAACCTACCATGATCCTCAGGTAGAGATTTCACCATGGCATTCCAGGTCTCTGTCCTGGAACTGCCCTTGATGAGGAGGTGCGATGTTGACCCATGTTGGCATAGTTATCACCTGGGCATGGGTGTTGTTCTTGGTGGCAGTTGCACCCACTACTAAGGAAAGGGTGAGTTATGCCACTATCACCAGTGTTGCTTCAAAGTAGGAGGTGCCCCAGTTGCCTGGTTACCTGTGTTGTCACAAAAGTTTTAAAAAAATCTTTATAAGGTGGAGCTCCCTCTGATTAGTTTCCTTCAGATTAACACTGAATTATTTTTAGCCTCTCAATAAGGATAATAAAAATAATGCTTCCCTTGCTAAAGGCATAAACTTTTAGACTTAAGTTTATAACACATGTTTAAGCTATTACTGTACTTATAGATGCAACTTCCTCTAATCAGAAGAACAATGGTTCACAATAAAAAATATGATCCCTTTCATTTGTAGAACAAGTTAAGTTTTATGAAGCACTTTTACACCATCTCTTGTCTCCCTCAAGAGAGACAAACCTGTGAGCTAGACACTGAAGGCTTCTTTTCTCCCATCCCCCTTTTTAAAGGGGAGGCTTTTGAGGTCTTTAGCATTTAGAATCAAAGGTCACCTGAGTAGTAAGTGGACTGAAAACCTGTCTTCTAGTTCAGTGATTGGGTCTTTCTCTTTCCATTGAACTCTGTCTCTCTCTCTCTCTCTCTCTCTCTCTCTCTCTCTCTCTCTCTCTCTTGGTCAATATTTTGAATATTTGGTTGCAGAATGATTTGATGATTTTTTTTTTTAAGGGCAAAAATTACTTGGGCCGGGTGTGGTGGCTCACGCCTGTAATCCTAGCACTTTGGGAGGCCGAGGCGGGCGGATTGCTCAAGGTCAGGAGTTCGAAACCAGCCTGAGCGAGACCCCGTCTCTACCAAAAATAGAAATAAATTAATTGACCAACTAAAAATATATATACAAAAAAAATTAACCGGGCATGGTGGCGCATGCCTGTAGTCCCAGCTACTCGGGAGGCTGAGGCAGTAGGATTGCTGAGCCCTGGAGATTGAGGTTGCTGTGAGCCAGGCTGACGCCACGGCACTCTCTCTAGCCTGGGCAACAAAGTGAGACTCTGTCTCAAAAAAAAAAAAAAAAAAAAAAAATTACTTGTTATTACTTCAGGAAGACAAACACTACTAAAATAGCATCTCCAAATCTTTGAACCTGAATAGGCTGAGGTTGCTTTCCTGGTTCTTCAAAATATTCAGGGACCTGAATGCTCTCTACCTGTAGACTGCATGCCTTTTAGTGTTGTTTGCTACTTCAGGGATGCATAGAGATTCGAACCATTGAATCTCAGAGCTGTAAGGGAAGTATAGAGATCAGTCCTCGTTCCACCTATAAGCATTATACTCATGAGAAAATTGAGCCCCAAAATATTAAGTAAATTACTCAAGGTTACAAGTTAGTCCAGCAAGAGATAAACCTTATATTTTAAATCTATGTCCATCTAAATCATGAAAACTACCTTTCCTCTAGTGAAGAATGTCATTTTAAGTTTCAAGCTATGTATGTCATAATCTGGCCAGTGGGAATTGGCCACATTATGCAGTGTGACTTGGATTGAGATTTTGCAATATTTTTACCTGGAAATGACAAATCCACTCCACAAGTTATTATTATTTTTTAAAGATATCTTATTGTGTAGTGCATTGTGTATTGGATCAATGTTGGTCAATTCCCCTTGAGTGAAATGCTAAACAGAGTGCGGAGGCATAGATCAAAGAGTCCTAGGCTCCGCAGCTGTGGTGAAAGGCTTCTTGAGGCCAAGAGCATTTGTAGTAAATGGGCCACAGCCTGGTCCAAGGGGTCGGGGCTCTGTGCGAGCTTATTTGCTCTTTAAACTTCTGTTTGTCTAAGTTGTTGATCATAAACACTGAGGCAGAGACTGTTTCCTGACTAAGAAATCCCTTTGACATTCTAGCAATGACTCACGGAATCATTTCATGCCCACAGAGTAGCCAGTGTCACCTTCTGGGGTTCTTGGCCTTTCGCACGCAAACCACGTAAAACACAAGGAATCTAGTTTCTCCCATGTCAGCCTACACTCCTGAGAGGCGCAATTTCTTCTGTCCTCCAAGCAGGACCTCAGGCAGCTCCAGGCTCCCCCAGAGCCCTTCCACCCAGTAGGTCTTTCCTGACTCAATTACTTTCCCTGTCTCTCGACTTCCCATCTGACGTCTGTCTCACGTTGTTGTCTTCTCTTGTTGAACCATTTTTGTTATCTTTTTGTTTTATTATAACTTTCCTCAGGTGGAATTCCTTATTGGCATTTCTTTTACATCCTAGCACAGCACAGAGCACATATTAAGTGTTTAAAAACACTTGTGGCTGGTTAGTTGTTATGATAATGAGAGGTCAGTTTTCTAAGATTTCCCTCTTTTTTGCTCCCTCCTTCCCTTTTTCCCCTCCCTCCCCTTCCTTCCCTTCCTTCCCTTCCTTCCCTTCCCCTTCCTCCCTCCCCCTCCTTCCCTCTCTCCCCTTCCTTCCCCCCTCCCCTCCCTCCCCTTTCTCCCCCCTCTCTCCCCACTTCCCTCCTCCACTCCCTCCCTCCCCTTCCTTTCCTTCCTCCCTCCCTCCCCTTCCTTCCTTTCCTCCCTCCCTCCCCTTCCTTCCCTTCCTCCCTCCCCTTTCTTCCCTTCCCTTCTTTTGTTCCTTCCTTTCTTCCCTTCTTTCCCTTCCTTTGTTCCTTCCTTCCTGCAAATATCTGCAAATATCTATTACAATAAGAGATAGGCACTATATGTGGTTTGGGAAGAGAGTATAAAGAAGGAAGATATATCATCACAGAGTTATGATTTCACTAGAAATTCAGAGCAGAGGAAGATCTTGTTTGGGAAAAGGGGGTGAAGACATAATTAGAGGTTAATCTAGTACTAGATAAGAGTACTAGTTGGAGAAAACCTAGCTCCCTCTATTATCAGAGAAGTAGAGTTGAGGCTGAAGGAGTGTTGGAGTCAGAGGCCTGTTCAGGCTCTGAGGGGAGTGTTTTAGAAGCTACTGGCAAGTTACTTAACACCCTGAGACTCAGATGCTTCATCTGTAGAACCAGGGTGGCTGTGAGGATTACGTTATTCATATGAAAATGCCGTTATTCATATGAAAATGCTTCTTAATGTTAAGCAGTATTTTATTTTAATTAATGTTAAGTAAATGCTTTTTAATGTTATGCCTGATATTATGTTTGTGCTACATGAGAATGTTTTCTAAATGTCTGTTATACAAATGTGAAGAATCTTATTTTATAGGGCTTTTGGGACACATTTTTTTTGCCTCTATGTAAAACTTGACCTGAATAGTTGCTACCTTCTTTTGAGCAGATGATAATAGGTAATTGGCCAATTCTTTGCAGGCAGAATTAAGAACTCCTGAGTGTGTTAGACAGTGTACCCCTGAAAGCATGTTTATCTATTATACTGAAGCAGCATTTTGTTAAGTGACACAGATCATGCCTGAATGAGCTATAGAGTTTCCAGTTGAAGTCACATTTGGAAATTGTTCATAATGCAGAATATAGTCTCATGATAATTTTTCAAAAACTGCAAAAATATTCTGGGATGATACAATATAAGGTCAAAACCTACATTTCTGAAATAGTAGAGGTCACCCCACCCTCCTTCTGAGCACCAAAAAAAAATAAAATAAAATAAAAAAAAATTAAACAACCAAAATCAAAAGATGAATTCCTTCCAAATCTGGAAGGTCTTCCTCACTTGTTACATTTCATCACCATTTAGGGGATCATTGCTGTGGCCAGGGCCTGGGGCATAGCATCCCAGGTTGGGAGTTTAAAGTGACTCACCTTAGAATGGGGCTGGAAAGGGCAAATGCTCATCCTAGATTCTCCGTTTGTTATATGGGAAGATCAGTACTGAACTGATTAATAATTTTTTTCATGAAATAATAATGAAAAATCTATAAAGCCCTCCTAATGAAGCATGATGTCAGCACAGCAGGACATGACTGTTAAACCAGTTCTTGTGGGAGACAACCACTGTAGAGCATACATCCCTTTCACTGGAAGCCACTCATGGTGCCCTGTGTTATATGCCTTCTTCCTATTACATAAGAAGAGCAGCTTCTTCCCCAGCTGTGGCAGAACTGCCAGACAGATCTCATAGACTGGCCTATGAACTTTAGACCTTGCTTTCTCCATGGCTGCGGATAGATTGGCTCTCTTTAGGGAAAGCCTGTTATGGCCTCCTTCCAGACTGGTGGAATTCCCGTTTGCAACTCGTAGGCTCCCTGGTTTCAAAGGTGGTTTCTGTAAGATAATTAAATCAAATCCAACTGAGTCATTTTTTGGTTTTCAAAAGTTACAAACAGCAGAACAAAGCTGTCCAGAGCCCTCTTGAGTAACGAGAGTGCATTTGTCACACCCAATCAGTTTCGTGGTTGAAATGTAGACGACTACTGGGAATTCAAATTATCTTCAGCAACAGAGTAACATATTGACCACTGATAACATCTCTTGGCCATCCCTATGTCTGAGAAGTGCCTGGCCTGACATGAATGTAGCATGTAGCAAAATCTGTACTTACATGGAATAGATTGGGCAGCAGGAAACATATTTTCCAATGCCCAATGCTGTGGACAGTAAGCAATGCAGGTGGTTTGATGCTGTTGAGTTTAGAAAAGACTCTCTGGGCATTAATCTCCCCATCTGAAAAATGAGGAGGCAGGCAAGATGATCTCTAAATCTTCCTAAGGTAAATAGGATTCCTTGAACTAATGACAATCTTTTGGATTAACTGGAAATAATGAACTCTTCTCCTATTTCTGTCTTTGCTAACAACTTGCCAAGTGATCTATGACTTCCTCATCTGGGCATTGGGCTTATGCATTGACTTCCTGCCCTCTGGTGTATGTTCTTCTCCCTTCACCCAGAGACTACCAGAGCACTCAGGGAAGGGTACACAAGCATCCCAAGGGGCAACAACATGGTGTCTGCTGTGGCAAAAATTCAGAATGACATTTGAGGCGGAGTTGGCTGGATTTGTCAGTAGAGCAGAGGAGGGGGGAGCCATGAGGACCCAGTTTTAATAATCTTTCCTCCTCTGCCATGGATCACCTTTTCCTCTAGTCTGAAATACTCACCATA